AAATGTAATTTTAGGACTGTATAAATGTAACTGCTCCTTAACGGTTAAGTGAGAGCTCAGTGCTGCCGTCGGGTAGAAACGAGGTGCTGGATAAACCAGGCGGAGGGCCGGATTCGGCCTGTGGGCCTCGTGTTTGCCACCTGTGCTCTAGGCCACATACTCAGGCCTGGAGAATCACGTGGGACAGAGGAGGGCAGTTCCGAAAGTCAGGCAGGCAGGGCAGAGCCCGCAGTCCCAGTGTGGGCCCGACACTCTGTGGCCTGGGTTCCAGGGGTCTCCTAACTCGACAGATAAGGAAACTGGGGCACGAGGTGCAGTTGGGTCTGGTTCCACGTTCCCCTTTGTCTCCCATTCCTGCCTGTTGCTCAGACAGTCCCCGAACTGTCTGCCCAGCTTGGTCCTGGGCTTCTGACCACCTCCTGGCACCATTATGGTCGAAAAATGGACGAGTGACCGGCTTCCTGCGTCCTCTCCTGGTGCTGGCCTGCGGCCTCCGCCTGTGCCCAGAGTGTGAGCGTTACAGCGGTTCCTGGTTCTCTTGGGCCCTTTGCTCCTGTCCCTGGGACCCTGCAGGGCTGCCCTTGCATGAAGCACGTCCACTCCCCTTTTCCTTCGGCAAGTCTGGTGCTGTTACCAGCTGTACGAGGAGTAGCCCGTGGTGGACTCAGCAGCTGTTCCCACCCCTGGCTGCTCCTGAGCAGCACCTGGTGCTTGACAAACCCCCGAGCTACTGCCCTGCCACCCGCCCTGCCACCCGCCCTGCCCCCCGACCTTCTGAATCGGAGTCTTCAGGACCGGACCTCAAGTTAGCATTTTGACAAACTCCAGTGGTGACTCTTAGTCACCTGCCCTAGCATTTGGGGCCACTGGTCCATGGTTAAAGGCCAGGCTGTGCCTGGCTTCCGCGCATGCCCAGCCTACATTTCTACCCCACTTCTCATCATCCCGCCTGCCCTGTGAGGGCAGTTATGCCCCCACACCCCAGACATTTTCTGGGAGGCGGGCCCTCCTCGTGTCAGTCATCTTCAACTTCTCCCCAATGTCTGTCTGTAGTTTCCCTTCAGTTTCTGTTCAAATGGCAAATGCTGCCTCCTCCACGAAGCCTTCTCTGATTGCTGTCTTGAAAGGATAGTTCGTTTTGTAAATGAGTATTTTGTATTTCCCCTGGCTGTGCTCTCCTTGGACTTGGGATGGGGGGCAGCGGTCCTTCTGCAAAATACATCCTCCCTTTGGTGGTTATCTAGTTTTCGGAAAAACAGGTTTATGTTTATGAGTTGTAGGGGTCGGCCTCTGTCCTAAACTTACTAGTGCAATATTCACCTAGAAAACAAGAGTTTGAGAGCCTGTACAGTTCTCCAGGGAGAGGCTTTAAATACATTTTTTTAATTAACTTTAAATTTTATTGTTACTTTTTCTGTTATTTTGGGGTAGCATCTGTGCTCATCACAGAAAACTAGAAGACACGAGAGCGTGTGGGAAAGTGAGCTGCGTGCATCTGGACTGCGGCAGCTGCAGCTGATGGCGTGGCGTGTCCCCGGCCCGTCTGTCTTCCAGGTCCCCGGGTCTCCGTACAGGCTCAGAACCCGCATCTAGTGTCCCCACGTGGCACAGTCCGATGGCCCGGCATGGGCGCTGTTTCAGCTGCTCTCTGAGACTTTGGAAGCTATCCCAGATAAACCCTGAGCTCTCTGCCTCAGTTCGTCAACTAGTCGATCACTTCACGTCGTCACCAGACATCTCCTTTGTGCCAGGCACTGGGAGTGCTGGCTAGAGTTTTCCCTTTCGTTGATACGATAATTCAAGAAAAGTCATTTCTCTAGTTTTTGAGATTATAGTAGAGGCACAGGATGCAAAAGTCAAGAGACGCGAGAGAGCGCACAGTGAGAAGGAAGTCTTCCCCCTCCGCCCCGCGCCCCCCAACCAGCCACACTTGCCCTGGCAGGAGGTCCGCCCCATGACCATTTTGTTCTTGCACTTTCGGGTTCGTCCTGGAGACTGGATGTTGCGCTCAACCCAGTAACGGTGGGGCGCACAGGGCTTTACAGCTTGCGTTTCACACAGCAGTGGCGTCTCAGGGACAGAGAAGGCCTTCTGTGTGCCCCTCCTTGGGGGGTTTAGGGCACTGCCCGTCTCTTGCCATCACAGACAGTGTGGCAGTGAACAGCCACGGCCTGAACCCCTCGGCACATACCGGCATGTCCTGGGGTGGGAACCTGGAGTCGGGGTTTCCAGGAGCAGTTAGTCACTTGACAACCAGCTCTCCGGTTTCTCTTTCCTTTTCCCTCCTCCTGTCTCTCTTCCTCTTCCCCTTTGGTGTCATGATTCAATTTCTGGACTTTCTGGTCATGGCTGGATCTCAGGAGCCTGCCCTTGGCAAATGAAGGGTGAGAGCGCCCTTTGGCCCACGGGAGTTCCTGATGAGGAAGGGAGCCCCGCAGGTTTACGCGGTATTTTCCTGCCTCTGCTAGTCTCCCTGCCTCCCCGCTCCACTGGGCCCTGGGGGAGGGGGAGCAGACTTGACCTTCAGGGGCCTGGCTCAGCTCGCTCGGGCCGGGGGGCCGTGGGGGGTGGCAGTGTGGCCGGCACTCAGGGCGCCCCAGGTCCCGCACCATCGAGGGGTCTGGTGCACATGCTGTGGCCCGATGTGGACAGAAAGGGGAGCCAAGCCCGCCCTTTTCTCCCACAGTTGTGGCTTCTGTTCTTAGAACTCTGAGCTACGGAGAAACCGCTCTGTCCTGAGAGCTCCACAGCCCGTGTGCAGGGTTCCCTCGTTTCTTCTGTGTGACGGGTTCCACGTGTTCTCCAAGGCAGAGACCTGTTTGTTTCCAGGACCAGTGGAGGGAGAGCTGTGTGTATGGGGGTGTGTCGCATGTGGACGGAGTGGGAATGACCGCTGTCGCTCGCTGCACGTGGAGAACGATGGGCACCCGGGGATAATCCGGATGCTGCGAGGATTAACTTGGAGGGGGGGACGGGACATAGGCCGTGGCCTGCAGCCGGCGGGACCCCTCCGCACCTGGTGTGGGTCACGTACACACGCCCTCTGTCTCCTCCTGTGTCCTTGTCTTTCCCATCCTGTGGTCCCAGTCTTGTCATTGGAGCTTTTCTGGGGACTTGTTTCTGTCCAGAAGCAGGGACAGGGCAGGGTGAGGAGGTACGCGGAGCCCAGCCTGGCTAGTTACGGGTCCCACGCTGTGTGATTGTGGCCGCACTGTCCAGGTGCTTGTGTGGGGCCGGGAGAGCCGAGGAATGAGGCAGGGCTCAGAAATGGTGTGCATGCTGAGCTGGTGGCTGGCTCCGGCACGGGCTCCGGTGATGCTGCCTGTCCCCTGCCGTAGGGTCTGGTGGCCCAGGGCTGTGCTGTTGTGTCCAGTTTGTCCCCTCATGGAATCACGGAATCATGGAGGCAGGTGGATATTGGCTACCACTCCTTCCAGAACTGCAAGGAAGCTGCGTGACTGTGCAGGCCCATGGACCGACCACTGTGATTTTCACATCGGGTACTTTGGAGTTGGGGTTCTGTGGAGATGCTGGGGGTCGAGGGGCTGGCGGCCGGGCGCATCTGGCAGTGTGACCTGGTGAGCCTTTGCTCACTCCCGCTGTCTCACGTGCGGCTTCCTTGTGAGGTGCCCCTCCTTGCCGGGCTCTCGGAAGGTGCTGGGAGACACTTGGTGAAGGATCTAACCAGCAAACGCAAGACAGGCAGGTTTCCCCTCAGCGGTGCTGTGTGAGGTGGGGCCCGCTCCCCCTCGGACTGCGAGCCCCACGAGGGCCCAGGCACTGAGCCACGGTTCACACGTTTACGTTTCCAGAGCGTCGGTTTACCAGGTGGGCGCCATCTGCCACAGTCCCTGCCCCGAGGAAGGGTTGTGCGCAGGTCAACTCAGTTTCTTGCCTCTCCTGGTCACGGCTCCAGCATCTGCCGGAGGCCCTGCCTTCTTCCCAGGAAAATGCCTGTGGGCATGGTGGTTGGCAGGCCATCGGCCGTCCGTACAGACCCTGTGCCTTCTCCAGCCCTCACCCCCAGTGGCAGCCCATCCGTGCTCTGGAACGTACGGCTGGGATAGCGGCCCCGGCGTTGTTAGGAGTGCTCGCGCTCTGGCGGGTGGGGTGAAGGCAGCGAGGTCAGCGCTGGCTTCTTGGGGGTGTTTCTGTCCTTGCTGGATTTGAGAGGCTGGGATACAAGGTAGGGACCAAGGTTGGGAGATGAGACCACCCTGTCGTCCATGTGCTGCTGGGCCTCGCTCGCAGGAGGAACGTGGGGTGGGGATGATGAGGTGAGTGAGCTGGCAGGGAGCCTTGGTGTGCCCTGGGGAGCCCCCCATCCCAGAGGCTCTGTTGGGTGAGTCAGGGCACTGGCGTTGGAGACCAGGGGCCATGGCATCGTTGGGAGGAGGGGAGACAAGGCCCCGGCTTGGGGGATGTCGGTGAATGCTGAGCTGGTTGAACCAGGGTTGGAGGGTGGGCAGGGCGTCTGTGGGGGTCAGAGGTGGCCAGGAGTGGACGAGCAGCTGGGGAAGGGCTGAGGGTTTTGGAGGCCTCCTGAATGAGGGTTAGGGGTGGGCTGGAGTGTGCCGGGCTGGGGCAGGCCTGGGGGGCTGGGCCGTGGGGTGTGACCAGCCCTGGGTGGTTGATTGTGGTGGCAGGCAGATTGTGGGCAGTCCCGGCTGGAGCTTGGCTGCCCAAGGCCTGGCCCCAGGACTGCAGGAGGGGGTGATGGGGGGCTCGATGTGGGGAAGCCAAGGTGGTGCCTCTGCAGGACTGGCCAGGTCCCTCTGGGGAACGAACCAGCCCTCTCTTCCTGCCAGAAGGTGGCTTCGAGGGCCGGCTAGTCGTTCACAGACCTTCTCCTTGAAAATGAGGCCATTCTGGAGAGCATGGCCTGAGAGGTGCAGCGGCCAGCTATCCTTGTCCTGCCTTCAGCTGCCCGTCGAGAACATTCTGGAAAGGATGCTCCCTGCCTGCCAAGTAACCTTTGTTTTCTTTGTTTTCCTCCACAGGAAGCGAGGGATAGAAGTCGTGCAGGTGAGTACAGACCTTGCCGTCACCATCTTTCAGGCCTGGGGCCTCTCAGCACTCATGTTCCCCTCCCTCAGGGCCCGGGCCCCTGGCCTCTCTCCATGTACTTCTCGGCTTCAACGTCTCCCCTGTGGAACCCGCGCGGTGTCCTGCTGGGCAGAGCACAGGTGGGGCCGGGGGTCTCTCAGGTTGTTGAGTTGCTATGGCTCTGTCCATGGAAGGAGCTGGCTGGGCGAGTGATGGAGCTCAGATGGGGGAGAGTGGCGTAGCCACCCAGCCGGATGTTCACGGTCCTGGTGCCCCACAGTTTGTTGAGTCCCTGCCTTGTTTGTTCAGCCCTCTGGGGACGAGCCTTCTTCTGTGTCAGACCTTCCTGTGAGTGGTGTCCCCTCCATGACCGCTCCTGTTCCCTCTGCCCCAAGTCAGGGTGCGCACCTTCCCCTGACACCCTCTTTTGATGTTAGGCTGCATCCGACCTTCCCTGTGGGACCTTGGCTCCTGGGTGGACCAAGTCGGTGGGGGCTTCTGACCCCTGTGTTGTGTCGCCCAGGGGTAGACTTGGGTCAGGTGCTTATTGGCTAGAGGGGGAAGGAAGGAAGGAGGGAAGGAGAGAAGATCTCCCAGGGCCCGGAGCCAGCCCCTCGGCCCTGAGAGAAGTGTGCAGGCTGCAGCACCTGTGGGGATGGCTGGCGGAGTGGGATGGGCTAACTCTCCAGCAGCCTTGGTGTCGGACTTCTGGATTCTTCTGCCTGGCTTTCCTCTTCTGCATCTTGTGGGTTGACCTTCTCACCCAGAGGCTGAGGTTTCTTTTGGGGGAGGAGGTAGTTCCTGGAAGCAGTGTCAGCAGCTCGAGGGTTTTCATCCAGGCTCCCCTTGTCTCTGCAGAGGTGTGTGATCTGCCCTGAGCCCTTCCATTAATGTGTCCGTACATCAACAGGAGGAAGTCAGAGTGCCGGCTTGGCAGGGAAGTTTGCCTTCGGGGACACTTCTGATTGATTGGTGGTGGTTGCCTTGGAGGATTCTAGATCTGTGGACGGCTGAGGGCAGGGATCGATTGATGATGCCTGCAGTGGGCAGAGAACGTGGGTTGCGTGTTTGTCACTTGGGCTCGGCGGCTCAGGTTGTTCCTGGTCCAGGATCCTTTGGCTTGGTCTTGTCTCTCAGTCCTTTCCAGTGGTTTCCTTGGAGTCCCTGCACCCTTTGGGGATGCACTGCACCCACCACCAAGGCCTGGGCCCGTAGTTGGAGCTTAGTCTGCCAAGGGCAGAGTGCTTCCCCGAGGGTGGCTCCAGGCTCGTGGCAGGGTCCACGAGGGAATTTCTGCTGGAAGCTGTGCTCAAGGGAAGTGGCTTTATTTATTTTTAGGGAGGGGGGCAGGCAGGGAGAAAGAGGGAGAGAAACATCGAGAAACAGTTGCCTCTGGCACATGCCACAAACGGGGACCAGGCCCCCAATCCAGGCATGTGCCCTGATCTGGACTCTCACTGGCAGCCCTTGGCTTTGTGGGACGAGGTCCAGCCAAGCCACAGTGGTCAGGGCTAGAGGAAGTGACTCTACTTGCTCACCAACACACACTGCTTAAAAGGGGAAGAAGTGTGCCCTTTCCCTAGTACCTGATTCCTGTTCCCGAAAGATCCCACTGTGGGAGGGGAGGGGGCCTTGGCGCTTCAGGGTGTGAGGGACAACTCCAGGGGTCAGTGTGTTTGACTTACACAGCTTCCCCAGGGAGATTTAGACTAAAGCCTTTAATCCACTTAGTCCGCAGGGGAGGGGGTGCTGGAGACTGGAGCCTTTGTTTTAGAATTACCAGGCAGAAAGTTACGAAACCTTCCTTGATGTATCTGCTGTTCATTTTGGTGATGCCTTGGGGGAGGAAGTGGTGGCTGGGGACCACAGTGAAGCCAAATGGATGCTTTCCACACTGGCATCTAAAAATAAAACCCACCACGACGCCCCTCTGTTCACTCTTGCTGGCATCCCCAAGTATTTGGAGAACTTGAAATTTCAAGACAGAGAAAACCTCTTTGCAAAAATTGGAAGCGAATCCACTCAGCTAGTTTTTCAAAATCGGCCAGGCTTCTGTGCGCCCGATCCCCGGGCTTGGGGACCGCCGGTGCTGGAGCCAGATGAGCACCGGGCGGGTCACCAGGTGTCAGTGATGGAAGAGGGGACAGTACGCATGCCACCTGCCCCCAGCCAGTGTTCCCTGTGTCAGGTGCCCCGACGGGATTGTCCCGTTTTGTGCGGCCACTGCTCCATGCGGTGGCGTTTCCACGTCTGTTCTAGAGACGAGGAAACAGGTTCACAAGTTGCCAACAGGAGTGAACCGAACACCAGTTCGCTCTGCGGTGGCCCTCCCTGTCGGGGCGTTCCCTCTTCTCCTGGGAGTTGTGAAATGGCGGTCGTGACACTGTGAGTGTTTCACATTTTTGGGGTACTTTGGGCAGCCAGGCATTGATGGTGTTTACCTCAAAGAAGCGCACCTGTGTAACCTGTTTGCAGAGCCTTGTGCTCACTCCCACAGATGACCCGCTGGGGAGGGAGCTGGTACATGGTCCTACCCAGCTGCCCCCTTCACATCAGCCCCGTCCCACGCCCATGGAGCACTGTGCAGTGAGGAGCCAGACGCCTGGGTTCACAGTTCTGGCTGTGCGACCTCGGCCCATTGTCTAACCACTCGGCGCCTCAGTCTCCCCACCTGTAAAACGGGTATAATAAGGGTACCTGTGCTCTGGGGTCATTGTTGGGACTAATGCAGTGAATTCGGGTAAAACAGTGCGTCCGGTGCCGGGCAGCTACTTATCCACCAGAGAGCGGCACACTCGTCGTTATCGGGTGTGAATCTGGGGGTGATGTGTGGGGTGCACAGTCCTGGGCATCCTGCAGCTGGCGACTGTGACCCTGGGGCAGTGAGGGACTTGTAGGTCTTTGCTTGCAATGAAACCGAAGGAGGACATGGCTGAGTCGTCAGCTGACAGGGCATTACAATGGTTTTTGATAATAAATGATTGTGATTCATGGCATGTAACTCTGAAGGCGCTCAGAGAGTGTGCTGGGGTACATCCCTGTTTCATCCTGTTTCTGTGAGTGGACTTGGCACTTTCAGCTGTAAAAATTGAAAAATAGAGATGGACTCGATGATAAACTCAGTCTTATTCTGACAACAGGTACTGCCCTTCTGTGGAGGCATGAAGCCGCTGAAAAGTCTTCCACTCATCTCTTCTGAGATGTATTTCTAACAATGCTGAATTTTTGTGCTTATTACTTATACACATTTATAATGTATTCCTGTCATATTGACCAGCTATACTATTAGTAATTGTGATAATAAGTGTCCAGAAGAGGACAGTTTTGAACATGAAATTAAACGAAAACATTTATGTACTTTATTATTATTATTATTATTATTATTGCCTCGGTGGTGTAATGGATTGCTCAGGAAAAGGCCGTCAGACGTGAAACGCCCGATGGGGACGTGAGCTGGAGGCTGGAGGCTGGAGGCGGCAGAAGGCGCCCTGCTGACCCACCGGGCGTTTCTAAGGAATGGCCTGATTCTCTGATTTTAAGATGCACGATGGTTGATCTCAAATTGCTATGATATTTAGATTCCACTGGATCCATTTAAAAGAGAAATAGTAACAGTTTTATTTTGAAATGTTAATATTTATAGTACGTTGGAAATTACATCCTCTCCAAGTATTTAAACTGGCAATGCGAAATTTTAGATGTCAACTTGAAATTGTGCAAATAGAAACATAGCCTTGAAATTAAACATTTATTTGGGGGGTTTAGTTTGGAGGCCATTACCCTGTTTACCTCTCAAAGCCAGGCTCTGAGGCAGGTGCCACCTCAGAGAGGGACAGCGCTGGGCCCTCAGGCAGAGGGACGCTCAGACTCGGGGCCTGTGTGTCTGCAGGGAGTGGGCTTGTCTGTCCGTCGTCGGGCTGGCCTCCCTAACCTGGGTCTGTTAGGCCGAGTGACGCTTCGGCAGTAAGGGACACGTGCCGCGCGCTGCTTCGCTCTGACCCCACCTCTGGGGAGGGCTCGCAAGGGAAGCCGTGAGGTGTCCTCGTCTCTGGTCTTCCTCGCGCTTTTCTAGAACAGTCCGGCGTTTGGTGGACGGAGACCCTGAAAGATCGACATGTGCCCAGCCTGCCCGCCCCGCCCCCTGTTCATACTGCCTGTCCCAGGTGTTTTCAGAGCCGGGGAGAGGAGGTGACTCTTATAAGGCCTGTGAAGGGTTGGCCGTTTATTTAAAATGCAAATGAGCGAGCTGTAAGCGTGAGAAGTAGTCGCTGATTATAGATTCATGTCCGCCTTCCTCGCTCTTTGAGGACTGAGACATGAGGAAACCAGCTTTGGGGCAGCCGCTGCTTCCCGGCTGGCGAGGGAGGAAGCCCGTCTCCCCAGCCTGCCAGAGCGCCTCAGAGCACCCCAGTGGCGGGGGGCCTGCTTGCTTGGGTCTCTCCAGAGCAGACTGCTCAGGGAGGGGAGCTGGGCGGTGGACGATCAAGCGGGAGAGGAGGCACGGAGGGAGAGACAGAGACCCCGAGAGCAGGACTGGGCGCCGGGTGTCTGGAGTTGGAGAGGCGGGGTGGCTGAGTGCCCCGGCTCACCGGCACGCCCAGAGGGCCGGGGGGCGCGACTGTGCTGTGGTGGGGGCCCGTGAGGATGAGGACACGGGGGCCAGCACTTAAAGGGGGGAGTGGGCCGAGGGTGGCGGGACTGTAGGGGGAAATTAGTGCCTCTTGCTAGGTAATAAACTGGGTGCAGTTGTGGGGAAGTGAGGTACAGGGTTCGGTACAAATAACACCCCTTTTTTATTACAAAATCACAAGCATGTAATTCTGTAACATAACAACATCACAGTCAAGCGCACTATATGACATTTTAGGTGAAATGTTCAAATTAAAATGATAAATTATTGGCACTTCTGACAAGATGGAGGCGTAGGTGGAAACACTCTTGCCTTCTCTCACAACCAAGTTTAAAAACAACAAAGTTTT